TAATGTTTTTTATTTACTTGTCAATAACTCCATACCCACTGAAACATGGAGAAATATTCCATTGGCAAGCAGTACTAAAGATCAGTGAGTGACAACAAAATTATAATAAAAATGAATCCATTTATAGAGAGAACCATACAATTGGGTGGTATACTGCATGCCACACTACAATACAATTTCAAGAATTATACTAATATTACTTTCATTGATGTGGAATTAAATTTATGCGACTTCTTAGATGATATAGTTAAAAATAATTGTCCAGTACATCCTGGAATATATCATATTAATAGTACTACTACAATGTCAAAACTATTTTGGCCAGTGAGTAACAGATACAGCGTATCGTTATTACTATTCTATTTCATAGGGTCAGTATTATGGTAAAGCAACTGCTTACAATGAGAAAGAAGAGCAGATACTATGTGTAATGAAACAAATCACTCTTGAATAATGAACATAATTATTATTAACACATGCATGCAGTATAAGTTTTGAGACTGTTAAATACTTAAAAATTAATGTCATTGACATCAGAGGCAGTGTCATCCCATAATAGGATCTATCTCATACTTGATATGTTATTACAAATGCATACGTTATTTCATATAAGTGCAAGACATACACCACAGATTAGTAAACCATGGGGAACATTCAGTGTCATTTTAACATGTTGCCCAGTGTTGCTCAACCACATCAAAGGTCTGACCACAAGTTGCCAGCAACAAAGTTACCCAGTGTATGTTGGGCTTAACACATGCACAAAGTATACACTACATAGATCTATAAAGACAAAAAATGAAAAAGATGGACAAGTTTTGAGACTGGTAGATACTTAAACACAGTGTCATTAACATCAGAGGCAGTGTCATCCCATATTAGGATCTATCTCACACTTGATATGTTATTATAAATGCATATGCTATTCCATATATGTGCAAGACATGCATCACATGTAGTAGAAATAAACGATTATGTAGTTTGTTACTATGGTAATATTATTATTTGTGTATGGTATGCATGTAGTTATTATCAAGTATATACATCACAGAGTTTAGTAAACCATGTAACCTGTAAGGGGAGCATTCACAGTATCAATTTCATGTACATGTATCAGCAAAATACTATAAGAAAGAAGATGAG